TTCATCGGAATCAATTCCGGATAATATAACGTCGACTTAAAATTTCACATTAAAAAGTCAACCAAAAGTCGCGAGGTTCGCCTCTCGGAACCCGACAGAATTTTTACGAAATCCGAATACCCATTTTTATACGAGTTCAGCCATACCAATTTTATCCAATTCCAATAACAACTCGACCTTCAAATTTTAAATTTTTGTTTTTGGAAAGATTTTGCCAAAATCTCAATTTCTTCCATTTAAATTCGAATTAAATGATAAATATAACCATAGATTTATGAAATATAATCACTTTCAGATATATGAAACTTACCCAAATAATAATATGAACCTAGTCGTTCAATCAAAACTCAATTCAGAGCTCATTTGCTCAATGCGATACCAACTTCGCTCGTTAAATAATTAATTCATGTTTCAAGCTAATAACCCAATTGTGACTTGATGAAATTAGACCAAATATTCCAGATCATTCCTATAATTCATTATCAAACTCCCGAAAGTCTCGAAATCGAATTCGATCTTTAGAACTAAAAATGAACTTTTAGATCATTACATGCTTATGCTCAAAACAATGACAAAACACCAAACACGTTACAAAACCCATCCAAAACTAATCCGAGCCTTATGAGACCCCAACCAAGTATACTAACAAGTCCCAAAATAAAATACGAACTTAGTCGAGGCTTTAAACCACGTCAAACAATGTCGAAATTACGAATCGCGCCACGAATCGAATTATGAGTTTTCAAATCTTTCAACTTCTATAATTTGCGCCGAAACGTATCAAATCAATCCGGAATGACTTCAAATTTTGCAAACGAGTCATATATATATATGACATAATGGACTTGTTCCAATTTTCAGAATCGAATTTCGACCCCGATATCAATAAAGTCAACTCATGGTTAAACTTTCTAAAAATCTTTCATTTTCCAACTTTCGCCAAAATGCGTCGAATTGACCTACGGGCTTCCAAATCCATTTTCGGACATATGCCTAAGTCCGAAATTACCATACGAAGCTATTGAAATCATCAAAATTCTATTTCGGAGTCGTTTGCTCAAAAGTTAAAAATCCGGTCAACTCTTTTCATTAAGCTTCAAAAGTAAGAATTGTTCTTTCATTTTAATTTCTGAATCTTCCGAAAACCAAACTCGACCGCACACGTACGTTATAATACATATTACGAAGCTGCTCGGTGCCTTAAACCGTTGAACGGGACGCCAATTCACAAAATGATAAGTTGGGTCGTTACAGGAAGCTCTAATTCCAGTAGAGATAGGCGAACCGAGAACGAGACACACACATACTAATGAGGCAATAAATCAAGAAGAGCTTCGAGCAAATTTGGATTTGACAGAAGAAAGGAGAGAAGCAACACTAATTCGGATGGCTGCTCCAAAGCAGATGATTGAACGATACTGTAACAGAAAGGCAAACCTGAGGTACTTCAAAATTGGGGACTTTGTCCTCAAAAAAGTGTTCCGATCAACAAAAGCGGCGAATGAAGGAAAGTTGAGTACAAATTGGGAAGGCTCATATAGGGTTAGAGGCATTGCTGTAAAAAAAGTATACGAATTGGAAACCATGGATGGCAAGGTGTTGCCATCACATTTGAATGCAGTCCATTTGAAGAAGTATTATTTCTAAAAGAAGGTTAATACCCACGGTCAGGTATCATGCAAGTCAAGTTTTATTTTATTCGTTTAAATTTTACTAACCATTTTAGATGATGGGAAAAAAGCTGGCCCATACCAAATGATGATATTAAATCCAAAAGACACGCGGAATACTTAGTTATTTCTAGTCTAGGTTACAACATTTCTGAAGGCAAAAGGGTTAGGCAGTCATCATCTAAAAGATTACCTCCGAGTCCCGTATGTATTTCCTTTTTCATGAAAATGATCGGAAATAAGGAGATGATCCAGTGTTCGAGATTTCATGCTTCAATGCTCTAACACAGGGATGATTATGCATACAAAAGGATGCACAAAGAAAGAAGATGTATACCACAAGAGCATAGTTCAGCCAGAATTAAAACCCTTGAAGAAAATGTTAAAATTTCAAAGGCGTTCAAGCTCCCACGAGCTTCTAGGTTAAGGCCATAAATGTAATCAAGGGAAAATATACCCGTATTTGTAAACCTGCTACAAAGAAAGCAGTTATGAAAATGTTGTAAAAATTTATTTATTTGAAAGTTCAAGAAATAAAACTTCTTCAAATTACTTCATATTTCATATCTTTGCACCAATATGAAGATGAGACGTCATCTTCATTAGTGTTGTTAATATAAAAGGGCCCTCTTTTATAAAAAAAATCGTGCATATTGAAGACGCGGTCTACTAAAATATTTTTAATGTAAGTATAAGCTCAAAAACTCAAAGAGCAGAAAGCATAATATGCAGCAAAGAGATATTTATATCATCACCCCAAAAACGGGGGCGCAAAACCTTCCAAAAACTATCCAAAAAACAAAAGGAGAGTTTCAACAAAAACCAAAACAAAATCAAAAAACTTCCACAAAAACCAAGGGAAAAAACTAGGGAGCATCATCCACGGGAGAAGAAGGATTAACTTGAAAAGATGAGGGTTGAACATCAGCTTCACCAAGAGTAAGTCCATCATCATCACCTTTGGAACCTTCATCCTCGGGTGTTGAGAAGCTTTGAAGCTGTTGAGTCTATCAATCGCCTCTTTAGCCTTTGCAATTTCAGCGTTAAGGTCAAAACCCTCATGGATAGCTTCTATCAGAGTCTTAAAGCGAGTGTTCAATAAAACCCAACTAACATCAAGTGTTAATTTGTCTTCAAAGACCTCGTAATCCTTCTCCCACTGCTCAATTTTAGTTTTCAACTCTTCTTTTTCTGCTTCTGAGGCTTCATAAGATGCCTTCAAAGGAGTAAGAAAACTCTCAAGGAACTGAATCTTGTCTGTTGAGGCAAAGAGGTCTTCTTGAGTCTAGATGAGCATTTGATCAAGATCACCCGCGTATGCCTCTTTCTGGTTAGGGAGCTCTTTCAAGCTCCTTATTTCTTTAGTTGCCTTGGAGTGCTGTTCAGCGAAGGAGGATTCCAATATATCCTTGTCTTTTTCAACTTGATTGGAGGAAATTTTTAAAACCGCTAGTTCGGTGGTGATTACCCTCAATTTTTGTTCTAAAGCTTCCTTCTCATCAGCAAGAACATCTTTCTCCAGCTGAAGGCCTTTGAATTGCTCTTTTCAATTATCAGACTCAGTGCGCAACTCAATTACCCATTGATCTGTCCAAGAAATCCTTCTCATATGCTCCGTACCTGTCAAATTGATCTATAAAAAGACAAAAGAAGGGGAGTTACGAACATCAAATGAAGGAGAGAAAAGTAAGGAGAGTAAAGATATACTTTGAGGGAGGAATGAATGATGCCATTCATCAGGGTCAAAGAACTGTGAGACTCAAGCTGTTTTCTTTTCACGAGACCAAGCAATGGTTTTAACCATACTGAAGCTTGTCCAGACTTCTTCAAAAGATTCCCACCATCATAGACTTCAATTAAAACTTTCTTCATACCCCGTCTACCGCTAGAAGGCTCAGCTTCTTCATGAGAAGTAGCAACGGGGGCAGATACTGGGGTGATTGTAGGCAAAGAAGCAGGGGGATTAACAACAAGAGCAACTGATGTCGTTGAAAGAGAGGCAAGTGGCGGCTCTTATGAGACATGACCAAACTCTTCTTCACCCTCAAAACCATGGGCAAAGAACCTATCAACAGGACTTGTGTGG